TGTGATACGGAATTTTAAAAAACGTATACAAAACTTATTTATAATAATGAAAAAACGTATGCAAATTTTTTATAGGGCAGATGTCGGTTGTATTTCAACTAATATTATTCAGTTAGAAAAGATTCAAACAAAACTTAGTGCTTTAAAAGAATTTCGATAATCTCCCAAAATTTTGAAATTTTATAGATTCTCTTATATTGATAATCAACAAGTTAAAGTATACAAATGGGTAAATTGGAAACTTACGCGATGTGAAGTTTATAATATATACAATATCTCTTGGGTTGCAAAGGTAAACAATAATGATATTTATTATACAATATTTATATTCTACCTTTTTATAATTATTCTTCAGGTATCAATTGCTCTTGATATTTGTTGGGAATCACTTCTTGCATTTTTGCTTTGTGTTTCATTACAACTTTCGTTGTGAAAACATGATGATTTCGCATTTGAAACCTAAGATTGCAAATCTTGAATATGCACGTTTTATGTAAGATGAACTAATTATTAAAACTGAAAGTGTGCAATGCTTATTTCTATACAATGAGAAATGTGAATTTTCAGGTAGGAATATTAGATTTTCTTTCCTTTTTTTTTTTAAAAAAAAAAAAATAATTTATTATTAAATCTACAACTTCAGTGTAAAATTCTTCATCTGCTCTTAAACCTCATACAATTTATATTTGGATGGAAATGGAAGAATATATTTGCCAAATTTGAATATGGAATCTTATGTTGATTATTTGCAAGAAATCATATCATCAAAGGAAGGCATGCAAGCTCATAGAAAAAAAGATTTTGTGACAGCATGGGAATGTTTTAATATACACGTAAAGTTAGGAAATATGAAAACCAAATATTGGAAAGGATATTATTTATGAGAAGGTTATTCTGTTCATATAGATCGGGTTAAGACATCAAAATTATTTAAACGGGCAGCTGATGATGGATTATTAAAACTATTAAGACTATGAATAAATTTAATACAGAAAAAAAGAATTGTATTAAACTTATTAAAGTTATTAGAGATTTTATGAAGGATATCTCTCAATTACAAGATTTTACAAAAGATACAGAGGGTCTCTAAAGGTTTACGCACACTTTTTTCGTGCGAATTTACTCAAAATTTTATTAAAAATTAAGTAATTTACAAATAATTAATAATGTTCCTAAACTATTAAAATATATATTTTATTAAGGGTTTAATATTTGGTCAGACCACCATTTGTATTTATTACCGCCTGAATTTGTCGAGGCATACTTTCGACTAAATTTTCAATTTTTTCAGAAGTAATTAATTTTCAAGCCTTTCGTACTTGTCATTCAAGTAAGGAAAGGTTAGTGGGCTTTACTTTTCGGCTTTGAAGGATTTTTTAATTTCGTCCTATAGATTTTTGATCAGGTTAAGGTCGAAGCTTTGAGCAGGCCATTTAAGAGTTCAGATATTTTTTTTGCACGAAATTCTGCAACAATTTTGCTTTTGTAACAAGGAGCATTGTCTTCTTGAAAAATACCATTCCTATTTGGAAAAAATTGCTTTATAGTAAGGATAACATGCTTGCGTATAGTTTCAAGATGTACTGCACCATTTACAGAACCAACTAAAGAGACAATTGGCATTTTCAATTTGTTTTAATCTTTTTTTAACAACAAAAAAAAAGTAATAAGTTGAGCTATATAATGTTGATCAATTTGTCAACGTCGCACATTCTGATCATTTTGGACACAAAGGAAACTAACACAAATTATGCATTCTTACAAAAGAAAATTACAAATATGTCGTACTTGCATGATGATGCTTCAGAGTAAAATTTTTTTACCCATTTAGTATTATGCAATTATTTATCCAATGCTTTCAAGGGGGTTTTTTAAACTTTTATTCTCTACTTTTCAGACATAAATATAGAAACTTATTTTAATAAAGAATTTAGCTGAATTTTCAGAATAAAATTTTAAATATCTTTTCTTTACTCAAAATTCATGTCAAAAGCAGAAACTGACCTTGTTGATTTATATACATGTAGAGAAGAAACAGGAAAGGATTTTGAAAAAGCTATTTATTGGTATCAAATAGCCGCTGAAAGTGGTCATATTTCTGCAATGTATAGTTTAGCATTATATTATGAAAATGGTGATGGAATAGAAAAGGATTTTGAAAAGGCCATTTATTGGTATCAAAAAGCTGCTAAAAGTGGTCATGCATCTTCAATGTATAATTTAGCATTATGTTATAAAAATGGTGAAGGAATAGGAAAGAATTTAGAAAAGGCCATTTATTGGCATCAACAAGCAGCTAAAAGTGGTGAAGCATTTGCAATGTATAATTTAGCATTATGTTATAAAAATGGTAAAGGAATAGAAAAAGATCTTGAAAAGGCCATTTATTGGTATCAACAAGCAGCTAAAAGTGATGAAGCATCTGCAATGTATAATTTAGTATTATGTTATAAAAATGGTAAAGGAACAGAAAAAAATTTTAAAAAGGCTATTTATTGGTATCAAAAAGCTGCTAAAAGTGGTTATGCAAATGCTATGTATTATTTAGCAATATGTTATGAAAATGGTGAAGGAACAGAAAAAAATTCTGAAAAGGCAATTTATTGGTATCAAAAAGCTGCAGAAAATGGTTATGTAATTGTAATATGTAATTTAGCAATATGTTATAAAAATCGTAAAGGGATAGAAAAGAATTTAGAAGAGGCCTTTTATTGGTATCAAAAAGCAGCTAAAAGAGGTGAAACATCTGCAATATATAATTTAGTATTATATTATGAAAATGAAGAAGAAACAGAAAAGGATCTTGAAAAGGCCATTTATTGGTATCAATAAGCAGCTAAAAGTGGTGAAGCATCTGCAATGTATAATTTAGCATTATGTTATAAAAATGGTAAAGGAATAGAAAAGGATCTTGAAAAGGCCATTTATTGGTATCAACAAGCAGCTGAAAGTGATGAAGCATCTGCAATATATAATTTAGCATTATGTTATAAAAATGGTGAAGGAACAGAAAAGGATTTTAAAAAGGCCATTTATTGGTATCAAAAAGCTGCTAAAAATGAAAATTTATTGCAAAATTCTTATATTAAAGAAGATATTAAAAAAATTACATCAATTGAATATATGAATAATATGGAAAATAATAATTATAATATATGCAATTGTTGTTTTAAAAAAAGAAAACCTTTGCAACAACATCATGATAGTATTTGTATAATTTGTTATCAAACTAAATTATTATTTATAACAAGTGGTAATAAAATCATTGATGAATTTATTAAACATACACAGATTAACTTTATTCAAAAATCTAGTAGAATATTATTTATTCTATTTAACCAATTTCAAAAGATACACTTAATTAGTGAAGGAGGATTTAATAAAGTTTATAAAGCTACTTGGATTAATGGTTTACCATATTGGAATAAAGAAAAGGAATTTTTTGAATATAATAATCTTAATATGACAGTTGCTTTAAAATAACTTAAAAATTCCAAAAATATACTAAAAAAGAATTAAATGAGATATAATATTTTAATTAATTTAATAATTTATAAAAAAATTTTATATTGATATCTTTTATAAATTTAGCTTTTGATGATTTATAATGCTAATTTAAATGATAAAGTTATTATTTCTTTACTTAATTTAAATAGATATTATGGAATTACTCAAAATCCCAAAACAAAAGATTTGTAATAGTTATGAAATAATATAATTATGAAATAATTATATAATTAAAAACTTTAATATAATTAAATGGGATAAAAAATTATTAATATTACAAGAAATTAGTTATGCACTTCATAATATTCATTATATCCAAATTATTTATCGAGATTTTCATAGTGGAAATATTCTTTGTAATAATGAATATGATGTAGTGATAAGTGATTTAGGAATTGGTAAATTATCAACTGAATTATCAGATAATGAAAATGAGTATTATGGTATTATTCCTTATATTGCTCCAGAAGTATTTCAAGGGTCAAAAGCAATAAGTATACTAAATCTTCAGATACAGTGGTATGCAAAAAAATGAACTTTTTTAAAATCACGATAGGTTCACAAGTATTGCGTCAATTAAAATGTTTAATGTGTCATTTTAAAGCTGAGAAGTAGTAAATTTATTAAAAAAAAATTAATATGATATTCGTTCACCATTTTTTTCAATAACCTCCCTACAACGCTGAGGCATTGAATTTACAA